AGTCACTTACCTTGTTCTGAATTATTCCTTTCTTTCAGGCAAGCACTTATCAGAATTGTGCAAGGCTGAGTACCCAAAATTGATCAGATATTGCCTGTGGTTGTTTGCAGAGTTTGCCGTCATAGCTGCTGACATTCCTGATGGTGTCTAATTATTTCAGATGTCAAATTGTCCACTGATTTATCAAAAGAAGTGTGCATGTGATATGAACTTTAAATCAAATAAACTAGCACACAATCAGAATTTTTTTTTATAATTGAAAATTTTATATTAAAATCCTGTTTTAAATAAAAAATTATATACGAATTAATGAATTAAATACTTAAATACTTACACGTAATCAAAATTAATATATACAAATTAAATGAAATTAATTCAACCTAAAGGCAAAATCATAGTCCACACAATATAAAATTAAGAAACAGGCAACTTTTATGGTTTATGCTTACACATGTTGAACACTTGTTTTGATGCATTTAATTTGTGGCAGTGATTGGGACAGCCTTTGCATTAAATATGCTGTTTCACATCCCAGTTTGGGCTGGAGTTCTCTGCACTGGTTTAAGCACTCTCCTCTTCCTGGGGCTGCAAAGATATGGGGTAATGTATATCTGAATTCTCTTTTGGGTCCAATTTTCCAAAAATAATCTCATTTATACATATAAGGTTCCCCAATCTTCTTCATAAAATGTACTTTTTTTTCCTTGATAATTCTCAATACAGTTTTCTGATTTTTATATTAATATTTGAATTTTTTTAAAAAATATTTTTATTATATTTAATGTCAAAAAAATAAAATTAAGAATCATGAAAATTAATATATATATATATATATAAGAATAAATGTTTTAAATCGATGTCTAAAAAAAAAGTAAAGGGAACATATAATTTGATAAATATTTGGAAATATATATATTTTGATGAACATTCCATTTGGAATAGGAAATGTAATTTCAATGGCAAAATTGCTTGTTTTCCTAACATATTATAATAGTTAAACCCAGATTACTTGTGTTTTCCTTTTCGAAGATAAGCTAAATTACATATGTCATATAAGTAATTTTTCTGAAAATCTACAGTGTTTATTCTACTAATTACCAAAAAAACGTGACTTAAATTAGGCAGAAATTAAAATAATTAATGAAATAATTGTATATTTCAACTTGTTGGTTATGATCAATTTGTTTATTATAACGTTTCTTCAAATTGTTAAACTTAGAATCATGGTGACAGAAACAAAGTGTAGATTAATATGGATTAGCATATGTTTAGTTTAGCTTATCTTGATTATAATTATGATTATTT